AAATGGTATAGCTGGGTCATATGATTGCTCCATGTCTAGCCTTTTGAGAAAACACTATATGGATTTCCACAGTGGTTGTACAAATGATCTGTGTACTAATGATCTGTTGTACTATGATCTGTGGGGCTATTTTAAACTATATATATATATATATATATGCACAAATATAATAGATAGATAGATATACATTCCTATTCATTCTTTTCTAAGGGAGAGAGAGAAATTTTTAATATTAATTTCTCAGTTTTTTGGTGGACACAACGCCTTTATTTTTTATTTTTATGTGGTGCTGGGGATAGAACCCAGTGCCCCGCACATGCCAGGCAAGCATGCTACCACTTGAGCCACATCCCCAGCCCTGCTAATCATTCTTTTTGCAAGGAATTGCATTTCTGTTCAGTATATACCTGTGAGAAAATGCTAACTAGATACATGTTCCCTTTCAGTAAATTATGCCTGAGAAATGTAAAAATGGTTGAATCAATTTATAATTTTTTCTGACAATGCCACTTGCTTCACATTCTGGTCAACATTTTGTGTGTGTTTTTAAATTTTCATCATTCTGTTAGATTATAACAATTATATCTTATGGAAATTTTAATTTGTATTTTCATAAACCCTAATGATGCTTAGCACTTTTTGAGATGTCCTTTGGAAATATCAACTCTTTGTGAAAGACTATTGTATTTATATTTATAAATATCCACAATTAGTTTCCTTTGGTGTGTGTGGAAGTGGGGGGCGGGGTCTTGGGATTGAAGCCAAGGCCTTGTGCAGGTGAGACAATCACTCTAACATCTGAGCTCTATTCCCAGCCTGGTTTCCTTTTTTTAAAACTTTATTTAGTTAATTATATTTATGTGGTGCTGAGGATTGAACCCAGTGCCTCACACATGCTAGGCAAGCGCTCTACCACTAAGCCACAACTTCATCAACCCCGGCTTCCTTTTCTAACAACCACAAGTATTTAGAAAATGTTCTAGTATGTACAGAATTGTTTTACTTTGAAACATTTGAAATGGAAAAAGTGTCATT